AATAAAATTTTATTTGACTGAGTAATAAACTGAGTTGTTTCTATAATATTGTTTTTTAGATATAAAAGAAAGTTGTCAAGGGAGTAATAAAGTTGTAGACTCTTAAGTAATCTGTAATCAGAAATCTTACCTGTATAATCAGTCATGTAAATTTTTGTCAGTATTAACAGAACAGTTTAATTTGGAAAAAAAAATTTCTTTGAATGCTTAATAGGCATCAGGTCCTTTGTGCTCAGTCTTTGGGATTTGGAGAACTAAAACACTTTTCCTGCCCTCAGAGAAATACTTGTCAATTTGAACCAATTAGATACAAACCAAAAAAAATCTGGAAAAATTAGCCTAGATCATAGATATATAACAGATTGAAAAAAATGTTTTGTGTTGAGTAAATTATTTTAGTTTATTAACATTTTGACCATATCTTATATTACTTCAGTCATATTTGTGAAAAAAAGGATGTGCTTTGTTTCCCGTTAATTTGTAAGACCATTAATATGGGAGGCCAAATAGGATCACGTTCTACTCTGTCAAGTTTTCTTCACTTGTCCCTCGTGGATGCCTGCTCTCCCTGGTAGCTGCTCTGCCTCCCTTTTTGAGCTGCTAATTTCTTCTTTGGTTCACTCTTGCCTCTGGATTCTCTTTCCTTTCATTTGTTCTCCTGAATCTGCCTTTGTGAAGCATAATCACAAGACTCCCTTGCTCTGACCCCCACTCCTGTTTTCTACAGCCCACCCAGTGAAATGTTTTGTTTGTTTGTTTGTTTGTTTGTTTACCAGCATATAAGACTTTCCACACTGTTCCAAACCCCCTCTCTGCCATTCTTTCCCCCCACTTTTCTTTTTTATACTCTAAACTCTGGGTACTAGAACTACAATTTACACTTTTCCCATCTCTTGATTTTCAGACACTTTTCTTCACTGTTTGAAATCTCCTTTATTCACCTCTGCTTTTCTATTTCTTGCCTGAATCTACTCATCTTTCAAATGCCTTCCTGTTTGAGCAACTTCCTCTGTTCTTCCTTCCAGCCTACTCACAAACTCCAAGCTAGAATATTTTCATGCCGTGAACATCCATAACACATTTTCTGCTTTCATAACTTAAGAAGATTATTCATGCACCTTTTCCTGTTATGCATGGCTAAGCTCTATATTTCTTAAGGGAAGAGCTTTTTTTTTGTTGACTGATTGTTACATTTCTATATCTTCTCTAGTATCTGGTTTTAATGTTTGTGTATAATAACTGTATAATTGGCTTACATTTGAGTGGATGAATCAATCAATCCTTACTGGCAGATATGAAAACTCTGATGTGTTATTTTAGCTGATGAATTTTAACTTCTTTGATATGTAGTAGCATTAATGAGATTAGATCGGTTTCCAAGTTAAAAGTCTGCTCTTCATTTATTAAGAAGAAAGACACAGTAGTTGCCAAGGGAAAGTGACTGGAGTTCTGTTTTCCATCTTCAGAAAGTTACCCAGCACCACCTGTCTCCATAAACTCTACTGGGTTGTAGCCCTAAAACTGTATTCTCCAAAGATTTACACACAGTGTAAAAACTCTCAGAGTGCTCGGAATCATCACAAGTAGGAAGAGAAAAATTAATTTCTTGCCTAAACATTACTGCCAGTGAAAAAAGCAAAATAATTGTTATTTTACCAACTAAGGTGGAGACAGTAGATAAAGTAAACAACACAATGAAGAAGGGTCTTGTCCTACGTCTTAGGCTACAGTTTTCTGGAAAAGCAATTTAGGATATTTAACCTTAAATTAAAACCGATCCTTCTTCATCGAAATAAAGCGGGCATCGAATCAAAGTCATGGGCCACATAACGTACAGAAAATAGTCAAAAGTGTCTCGTCTCTTTTTCTTTTGTGAAATGGACTTTGCTGTATAGACCACTAACTAGTAAACTCTTCTGGTTATTCTGGTTGTCTGTACTGTCTTTACCATTTTAAGAATCTTTCCTTTGGTACTTTACAGAGTGATGGAGCTTGTTTTATTTTGTCTCCATTTTGCATTCTATGCATTAACTTAGTAGCTACATGGGACAGTCTAGTCTTTGGTAGAATACATCATGTGCTCTGAGAGGCTTGAATAAGAAATGAGTGGAATATGTAAGGAGTGTGCTGAACAAGAACATGGTGTAGAGCGGGCAAAATTCAGGCTGTGGGAGGATTAGTCATACGACTTAACAGGAAAAATTATGTTGTAAAGATAATGGATCATTTGCTTCCTGAATGAGCCATTCAGAAAAAACCTTTGCCAAATCACCAAACTTGCCTGATGAGATTTTGTAGATACTCCTATCCAAGTACTGGTTGATACTGAAGACTCTTCAAGTTGACCTTTCCAGCCTTTATTTCATTTATTAATAGCTTAGGAGAGAAGATATGGGGGCCTTTTTGGTCTGCAAAGGGTATTGTGAATTTAGAACATGATTCTTTTTGTGTGTGTTGATAAAAACCAGGAATCATTTTTTAAAGCATCAATTTTGGTTATTGTTTTAAAAGGAAACAACCTCTTCCCTGCTCTGAGTTTTTTTCTTAATGAGAGCTTTAAGAATTAATCTTCAATGTATGCTGTCGCAAGGTGTAATCAGACTTGACCTTTATAAGCTTAGCACCTTTGGACTTCTGCCCTGCATGCAGTTAACAAGGTAAAACAAAACCCTGTACAGTTTCTTAACTGAAATAAAATTTAAATGCCATGTGGTTAACTTCCTGTTTTTTTAATAAAACAATATACTAGTCACCTGAAAATTTGGAATTTGAATGTGACAATATAAACCTTTCTGCCCTAATTTAAACAAATATTTCTTATATTTCTGGCATCAGTAACTATCAGGGATGATTATCTCTGAACCATGTATTGATAGAGTGATAATTTTTGATGCATTTTCAGCCCCCCTGAAGGTTATAGAAGGTACTACACTTTATCGTGGTTGTCTTTTTGAAAGTTGCACAGAAGGTCCATGTGAATATTAATAATAGTCTCGGAACAAGCCAAAAACCTATTTCTTGACATTATACACACTGTATATGAAAATTTCCTTTTGTGCAAAATGGACATGATAGATTTGTTTCTTAAAACGTGCATATAAATAGAAACGTTGTAGAATTCACATTTGAACTCTGGCACTTATTGTGTGGAGAGAACTAAGGGCGGGTCCCTGCCTCCCAGAGTCGACATAGTCTGGTAGGGGAGGTGAGAGGTGTAAGCTGCATATGTGGCCAGTACCGCCTCACACCGGTAAAACTGACCCAAATGCCACGTGCAATGAGAAGTTGCTTCTTTCGAGCTGGGAAGATCCAGGAAAGAGTTGGGGGTTGTGGTTTTGAGCTGGATTTTGAAGGATGTGTTACAAAGATTATGGAGAAGGGGATGATTAAAGTGGAAAAATGCTTCTTGGGCCAATGTCTGGTTTATATAGGCTGGAGACAGAACACACTCAGTATGTGTGATGAGGGGGGGAGGGGAATTCCTTAGGTATGGTTAGGAATATTCACCCTGCCTTCTCCCTCTCCTCTGCTACTGGACTGGGGAACATAGAGATGAAGCGGAAGCCTTGGTCTTACCCTATAGTCCTCTTTTTTGTTTGACCTTCCCAATTTACCATAGGATGGTAAATTATGGAGAATAAGACTCGAGAGAGGAATGGGAGCGGGAGTAGGCAAAATGAACTGCAGTTTAGCACAGGGGGCTCTTTATCACATTTTTCTTCTTTTTCCTTTTTCAATATTCTCTCCTTTTCCAAAGCTTGGCAAAGTACATCACAGGAAAGGGCAAAGAAAAAGGTGGTTAGGAGTTTCAGTAGCTAACCATCATATTCACTCTGCCTATACGTATATGGGATTAAAAAGCATATATTAAGTAGTGTTTGCAGAAAATAAACAGATATAATACAAAAATAATCTTGATGGACCCTAACCCTAGTTCTTTTATGTCATCATCATAGTTGTCAACTAAATTTTATTTAGGATTCACGAAATGCACAGACTTGTCTTCCAACATAGTAGAGATTAAAGTTGGTTTTTTTTTTTTTTTTGTAGAGGCGAAAGGGTGTTTAGAACAACTTTTTTTTTTTTTGCAGAAAAATGATGCTTAAAGGAGCAATCATAGCATAGGATGTTGGATAGATATCAATCTTTTACACCTTTCATTAAGTCTTAATCTTTCATAATATGTATGTTTTCCTTCCCCATAAAAGAAGAGAAAAACTAAAATAGAGTAAAAAAATAAGCTCGAAAAATAATCAAACCTGGTGAGTAATTTTTAAAGCTACCTTGTGAAGAAACATGCCTGCTAGAGAGCCTTAAAGGAAAAAAAAAAACTGTAGCATTTCAGGGCTAGACAGTAACTAATTTAGTTTCTGCTCTGGATTTCTTGTCAAGCTTTTCTTTCTTTTTTTTTCTCTTGAAGTGAACATATTTTATCTTTTCATAAAATATTGTTTCTTCGCCTTCTAAGATACCATGTCAAGTTGAAAACTATTCTTCAGTAGTACAGTCAGATCTTTCTGTTTGAGGACTGCTCTAAGAATTTGGCAGCAATTCTACTCTATTAAAGCAAATTAGACACAATTAAAGGGTCTTTATCAGGGCACTGCTATTGTACATTAATGTGCATATGTGATGAAACCGCTTCATACTTACTGTTTTTAAAAACTGAGGTTTACATTTAATTGGAGGGTCAAATGTGTTTCTGGAAAATATACTTTGCCCCTTTTAGAATGTATTTGTTGTATAAATTGAGAGTTTTCTTACTCCAAACACTGGGTAAGATGTAAATGATGAATGTTGCTCATTGCAGAGGAGCTCAGTGGTTGCATCTTTAAGATTGAGCAAAGGAGGTAAAAAGCTGAGACACCATCCCTTCTGAACTTTCTCCTCAAAAGATAAATTGGAAGGAATTTTCTGATTGGCCATAGGCAGTCCGCCTGAGAGGTTCTTGAGAGTTCTGTGGAGATGTGCTATATATGATTGTAATCTTTCTTTTTCAGTTTCTGCCCCTTGCTGCACAACAGCAAGAGAAAGAAATCAAGGAGCCACGCCTGTAATTTACCAGATAAGCCCAGCAGGGTCAATAGACAAACTGAGTTCCCAGAAAAACAGCTACAGGCATCTGAAGATAAACCACTTCATACAGCTTTTACCTTAAAGCCAACCTGGAAGACTGATTCCCAGTTACAAGGTGAGTCAGGAGAATGCCAGCTTAAAATCGAAAGTAGAGTAAGATTAGGCAGGGCTTAATAACACATTTTATATAAAATGTTTAGGCTTAGAGAATGCTGGCTTTCTGAAATTAAGCTGACTTGCATATGCAGAAGGAAGAGTTTTCCAAAATCAGATGGTCCATTGTTCTTAGTTTGGAAATCTAATAGGTCTGGATCATTCTTTCCAGACTTTGAGGTTGTTATCTCAGAGTGTGATATGTCTTAACCTAACCTAAGGGTTCTGTTGCCAGATGTGACTGTTTTGGTCCCAGGGAGGTAAAACTGATTCCCTAAATTTGCTCCTTTTTGAATGACACCTGTAGGGATTTAGAGTTCACTCTGTAGCCCTTACTCATTCTGGACACAAGAGTGATTCAGAGAGCAATATGCTGTGCCGTCTACATGCGCAGAACTTTTGACATTGATAAATCTCACCATCAGAATCAGATGTACCTTCAAACATAGTGGGTTGTAGTTAGTCATAAAATCTCTCTTTCCCCATCTTTGATCACTATATATTATTGGGAACCGAACTAATTACAGTAATTTTCCTGTTAACTTGATACTGAATCAAACTTTGCTATAGTAACAAAGAGCTTTAGTCATGAAAACATTCCAAATCGTAGGATCCTTATGGGCATATAGCACTTCTCTGTCTGCATTAGCTAAACTAATGTACATGTATGTCATTAGGTTATAGTTTACAAATAGGGGAAGCTGAACTGATCCCAAAACAGTGATTCTTATTCCAACAATCCATTTAACTTCAAATGGGTAGTGCCTGTTACTTAAGCAGATTTTTAATGTCGAAGCAAACAAGAAAGGTCAACTGGATTGGACATTTATTTTAGGTAGTTTACTGTCCTGGTAGCATTACTTTGCTCTGCCTTATGGATTCTCTTAGATCAGTATTGCCTAGGATCTCCTGATACTAGATCACACGCAAAGATGAAATGTATGTGAGTCCTTTTGACTGTCAGGTTTAAATTCATGGAAACAAAATAACTGGAAATTTGTTTCCACACATTTGCTGAGTTGTGGCTTGACTATATGAGAAAGAAATTAAACTCATCTTTAAAAGGAAAAGGCAGTTGATCAGCATCTCATTTCCTTAATGAAATGTGTTTATTTTTACTCTACTTTTATCGTAGGAATGTATACTCAGAAATGCTTTTAGAAAGCCCCTTTATCCCTTTTTCTTGGAGTTCCTATTATCAGCCTCACATTTCATTTCTCTTAACTCCCTGAGGAAAGGATAAATAAGACAGAAAAAAATGGAACCAAAGTAGTGAGTGCTTGGAAGACATTATTGACATATTAAACAGGTGGAAATATAGTGAACAAGGTAAACTCAGTAAATCAGTTAACCAGTCAGCAGGTATAACATGATTCGGCAAAACCTGGAAGAGAAGAAAGTACTGAGCCCGGGCATGGCAAGGAAGCTGATATTTACTCCCTTTTATCTATTTCGAGGATCATGAGACATCTTCCTCAGTGAGTGGAGATGGAGAGAGAATATCCAGCAAAAACTGGCAATGTGAATACTATTTTACCTGCTCCTTTTATTCTCCTTGGTTGTCCCTCCTTTTCTGTCTCTCAGGTTGAGGGTTGTCTCTTCTGTTCAAGAGACACCTGATTCTGAAGAGCTGAAGGGGCCAAGGGGGAGGGAGTAGGCCCATAGCCAGCCAGCTCTTCCTTCCAGGAAAGAGTTTTCCTTCTTGTCCAGTTGAAAAGAATGGGAACAAGGGACCAGGAAAGAATCTGTCCAGTGATAAGCTGTGCACTAGACCAGCTCTCCCCTGTATACATTGTCTTTCTCAGTCTGGAAGGTGAAGTGTTAGAAAAATGGGTCACCTAAATATCGGAAAGATTTAGACCTGCTTTGAAAAATAAATTGTATGTTAAATACATATCTAGTAATAGTAGAAATGAAGAGGTGAAAAAAGGGAGAATATTGTTCATGTCAGGGGTTTCATACCGAAGAACTAGGGAAGAGGGAAATGTTTGTTTCTTAAGATTTATTTCGTTTTTTGTCATATTTTTGTTTTTTTCTATTTTAAAAATAACTTTTATTTAGAAAAACTTCAAATTTACACAAAAGTAAAGGAGATAGTGTAGTGGACTCCCATATGAACACACTCAGATTCATTATCCCTTTCTGCTTTTGTTCTAAAGTTGTTAGAAGTAGACATTAAGTCATATCCACCATAATGCTTCAGTACGTATCTCTTCATATGCACATTTTCCTACAAAACCATGCTCTTGTCACACCTAACAATGTGAATAATTCTCTGATATTATTTTCTACTCACTCCATATTCAAATTCCTCTATCAAATTTCTCAAAATTATCCTTTTACAGTATAGATTTATTTGCATCAGAGCCAAAGTTCGGTTATTGAGCCTCTTAAGTCTCTTTTATCTAGAATTTTAAGTCATTTACTTGTTGAAAAAACTTAGCCACTCGGGCAATAGAGTATTCTACATGCTGGGTTTGGCCAATTGTTGTATTTTAACCTTTTTCTCTGTCACCCAAATTTCTAGGAACTAGAAATTAGATCTAAAGGCTTGATTGAATTCAGAGTCTACCTTTTTGGCAAGAATTCTGCTTCTGTGATGCTGCTTGCCTCAGGGGACATATGTGGTCTGTTTGCCCCACTTTTAATGATACTAAAATTGAACAATAGTGTCAGAGAGTAATCCTGAACCCTCTATTGTGAGTTCCCCTGTCAGTTCTTTTCATCTAATAATTTTATCCATCTATAATCATAGCCCGAATATATTATTTCATTAGGTATTGTGAAAATGGTGGTTTCTCCTCACCCTCTCCCCGCCCCATCCTATCATTCATTCTATATTTATTAGCTGGAATTCTTTGTAACTAATATTTGGTGACCAAAACGCAGTTTATACAGGAAAGATAAGGTTAGTGCTTACCACTTCCCTTTGAATAGACAGTGTCAAGTTGGTGCTTCAGTTTCTTCAAAAATGTGATCAAAGATGTTTCTTTGTTTTTTTGTTTTTTTTTTTTTTTACGTGATTAGGAAGGCTTCCCCGAGAAAGTGGCATTTGCAGTCAGTCATCAACTCATGGAGACTGGCACAGGGGCCCCCAGGTGGAGCTTTTTTGGTTTTTTTTTTTTTTTTTTTTTTTAGGGGAAGAGTTCCTCTTTTTCTTGAGTATTATTGTAAATTCATGGCTTTTTAAAATATCAAGTTTTAATTTGTTGCAGTGATTTTTTTTCCTAGATGTTTACTAAAACCTTCGTTTACTGGGAACCCTTTCAAACTGGCTCCTGAATATACATACAGAAAAGATAACCTGTCATAAGTGAATCACATTCCTATATAATCAGCACCCAGATCAAGGTACAGAACTTCCCAGAAGCACCCCATCCCATTAATTTTTGTGACCCTACTCTGTGATACAATGGGATGCCCTAAGCTCTTCTTGTTTATTTCATATTCCAGTCTAAGAGTCAGCCATTCCAAGAAGCTCTGATTCCTTTTAGTAGAAAATGGAATTTAGAAACTATAGCCTGGGCATTTGGGGTGCTCATTCTTACTGGTTGGCAGTGTTTCCAGACTTTTTCAGGGGACAAAGTAGGAAAAAATATATATTTAAAAATTTAAAAAATTATGAGTTCATACTGATTTTTCCAAGTTAATTTGATGGAGTTTTAATATTATTTGATTTATATTTGTATCTCTTTTCTCTTACACTGAAAATCTTGATTCAAAATAATATTACAGAACTTATTTGCTTTATCCTTTAAGTACACAAAATGGTTTCAGATGAATAACTTGGCATTAATACTACTAATTGTTTTATTTTTATGTGGAGAAAAAATGTAGGTGTATTTACCTTTTATTATTATCATTATTTTTGCTGCTTTCAAAATTTATGCATGAGGTCCGAAGATGAATTTTTCCCTTAAGAACATTTTTAGTGTTAATGTGATTTTGTTTCTTGGCAGTGAGAGTCAATCTATTAAGACTTCGGTTCCCCAGATAATTTGTTATTTGCAACTCATTACGTCATAAACAGGAGGTATTCCAGAAGTGACAGTGGGATTATTGTTATCTTTAGATGGATCACTTTGTGCTGCATTGAATGCATTTATTAGTGCCTACCTTTTATAGCAATATAGGTCCAGAAACAGAAGAAAGATAACTGCTCTAAATGAAATAGCCTGCAAGTACCCCAGTGTTTTTGTCTTCTTGCTTCATTTTATTTGACAAACAGATATTTTATGGTTGCTTATTTTGGACTTTCTCTTCCCTTGGTTAGTCAAGTGATCAAGTACTTTGAGACATATTTTATAACATTTGACCCTCTGTGAAATGTGTTTATAGAGAATATGGAAATAGGCAGTCTTTCCCTTTTGTTCCTCTTCCCTTCCCCTTCCCTTTCCCCTTCCCTTCTTCCTTCCCGTCCTTCGAGTCATCTGTCTGTTCTTCTTTTCTTTTCCCTGAAACCAAGAAATTCTTTGACCATAGAGCTAAGTGTTAAGCAATGGGAAGAAAGAAGGGCTGCTTCATTCCCTTTTTAGTCTGTCAAATTTTTTGCCTGTCTTTCCAAAGTATCTCATTCCCAAACTACCATAAGATTGTAATCCAGTATTTGTGAGTTTATTCTGAAATGTTTCACATATGCAAAGATGATTAATACTTTAAATAGTCTAACTTTGAGGGAATTTAAAATTTTACTTTATTGACTTTTCACATCAAATGAATAATGCTGGGAAGTACTATGTGCAGTGACCAACATAGAGATCCATTTGGACAGGTTTGGCTTTCAGAGATCAAGGATATATCAGGAATAATAATTCTAAACTTTGTCCCACTAAGGAGTGATTACAAAGATGTTGGACTAGCACCAGTCTTACCAAAATGTCAACTGTGTATGGCTGGTGGTAGACTTTTAAAAGTTTGAAATTTCAGAAATAACGACAATGTAAATAGATGTGTCTTTTTATC